CAATTACCTGTAAGAAGTTGTGCAAAGGAGTTGACATTCAGCCAAGCGGTGTACGCATACGGTGTGTCTTGATCAATGCCACCTCTTTTAGCATTCCCCACCTGCCCCTTCCTTCACTTGTCTTAATTTTTTATAGGCTGTGCATTGAATTTTTTTCCCATTTAATAAAGCGGTTTACGTACACAAGCCATCTCGATGGTCGCCATTTTCACCCCCCTTCCGCCCAGCCCTTCTCTTATTTTCCTTTTGTGGTATATACAATGAATTCTTGATTTTTCTCCCCGTCCTCCCCCCAAGCCCCACACCCCCTCTTGTGGGAACTCATTTCCTGGGACTTACTTTGTTTTCTATATTAATTTTTTTTAAAAAGGCAGTGAGAAACTTTTAAACTGATTATTTTAGTAGCTCCTTGTGTCCTGCTGCATTTCTGAGCAGTCTTCTGTATTTGGTCACACTAAGTATGTGTTTCAAGCAAGGATGTAGCAGTCACTGCTTCTCTGGCTGGCTTTCGCTCCTGGTGCTGGGAGCATGCTTCTTGAGACCCCCCAGCAGGTATTTCTTACTGCCTGGATTGGCTTTCTCTTTGCCCTTCAATGCTCTCCGGCTTTATCATCTCGGCCAGCAGACTTTTTCCCCCTCTCCTTAATCTCATTTTTGTTCTTTATTCGATGTTACAAGCTGTCTCCAGACTCATCTTTGTAAAGGTTGTTTCTGATCATTTTCTCCCCTGTTCATCAGTGAGCCCAATTTTCACTCATTCTTCATGCTAAAATAATTCCAGCCGGACTAACGAGTTAAGTGTTAAAAAACAGCAACAAAGACAAATCAATGGAAAGAAACATGGCTAAATTGATTTAAAAGCTTACAGTGAGAAAATTGCTTCTATACCTGGGCATTTAATTACAAAGCCAAAAATAGAGTAGTTACACAAGGAAGCTTGTATTTTCAAATCTATCGCATCTGTCTGTCTGCTTGTCTATCTATCTATCTATCTATCTGTATCTAATCCACCCATCTAATTATCTATCATTTATCTGTCTAATCCATCTATCTAAGCCATCATCCAACTATACAATTATCATTTATCTATCTAATATATCTTTCTAATTTGTCCATCCATCTATCTAATTATCTATCTGTCATTTAATTTATCTAATCCATCCATCTATCCATCTATCCCTCTATCTAATCTCTCCATCCATCTGTCATTTCTCTAATCCATCCATCTATCCCTCTATCATTTATCTATCTAATCTCTCTATCCATCCTTCTAATTATGTATATATATATAATATATCCATTTGTATATATAGATATATCTGATAAGTATTTATATATGTAATATGTATATATGATATGCATATGTACCTAATATATAGAATGCATATATTTGATAAGTATATGTATACACGTGTATACATAATATATACATGTATACACATGTATATACATGTGTATAGATAATCTGATATATCTATGTCTACAGATAGATGGATTTTTTTTTTTTTTGTCAGTCGTGGGGCTTGAACTCTGGGCTTGGGCACTGTCCTTGTGCTATTCAGCTCAAGGCAAGCGCTCTACCGCTTGAGCCACAGCACCACTTCCGGTTTTCTAGCAGTTTATTGGAGATAAGAGTCTCACAAACTTTCCTGCCTGGGCTGGCTTTGAACCGAGATCTTCAGATCTCAGCCTCCTGAGTAGCTAGGATTACAGGCGTGAGCCACCGGCGCCCGACTAGATGGATGTTTTCTAATGTAATCTACACTCAATGAAGTCAGATTGTGTGATAACCTTTGGAAAAGCTGGGCAGGAGGGATGGGCTTAGGATAGTTATAATGGGGTGTGTAGACAAGGTAGAGGTTCACAGGACACATCTACGGGATTGTGCTGCACATGCACATGATTAAGAAGACAAAATCCCTTGCAAGAGTACGGGGTGTGGTCTGTTCCTGTGGAGCTTACTACTTCTGCTGGGGAGGACAAGCCAGGGATCAGGAGACAAAACACCCGTGTCTCTCCTGGAATGCCCAGAGAGCACCCTGTGCACCCCGTGTGCCCCCCGTGTGGCTCCATGGGCCCCTAAGTGCATGGATGCATGTACACACACGTATGTCTATACACACTCATGTACATGCGGTGTATATACACACGACTGCATGTACATGCATGGGAACGTGTCCACGCCTGTGCATACACCCGTGTCTTAAGTATGTTCAGGTGTGCACCATGCACACACACGTATGCATATATGATGGACATGTGTGTCTAGGAATACGCGTGTGTACGTGGTAGGAAGGTTGCGCATATTCATCGTACACCTTCTCACAGTTTAAATCCTTCGCAGATTCTAACAGCAGCGCAGAGCGAATGCGTCTGCAGCCGCCGTGCGGGTGGGCCCCGTTCACGATGGCATGGCCCCTCTGAGGGAACTCCTCGCTTGCCCAGGGCAGACACAACTGACACAGGCTGCCCGTTTGTCCGTCTGCAATTGCTCGGCTCTGTGGCATCATCTAGAGGCTGCGGTGTGCAGACACAGGGGAGACATGGCTGTGGGGAGATTCCTCGAACCATCTTGAGACTCTGAGTGAGAGGTTCTGAGTGTCTAACTGGGCAGATCTGGCGGAGGCCCCAGGACGGAGTCCCTGGGATGGAGGCTGCATCCCCGGGCTTCAGGCCTCTTCCTTCTCCACCTGGAGTCTCATTGTGGATGAAGCGCCCGTCTTCGGGGTGGAAGTCCACCCATTCAGGTGTCATCTCGTCAGGCGGAGAGGCTGGGGGGTGGGGGGCGGCTGCCTTTCTGGGAAGCTGACCCCTTTCAGAACCTGCCTAGTTGACATGTCACTTACGCGACAACGAGTCACTTAGGCTCAAGGAGTGAAAATCACCAAATGCTCCCTGCCTTTCTCCAATATATTTTTTTTTCCCCCTCCTAACAATTAACGCTGCACTAACTTGACACCCTCTTCCCTTGTTTGCCTTTGTCAACCCCCGGTCCTTTTCTTCTATTAATTCCAGACATTAATATTTTCTTTTATGCAACTGCCGCCATTCACCCGTGAAACAGTTTGAACATTATGTAGCTGTCAAGAGGTCTGGGATTACCCAGTATGCTTTGCCTGTGAGAAACTGACACCACGGGCCGAGTTTTGAGATGTTTATTTTGAGAGTAGGCTGACAAGCATGAAAGCCTGATCCCCGAGTGGCAGCTTCATTTAATTAAAGGCCTCTTTTTATTATAGTTTTCCCCTACTTTCACATATATATATATATATATATATATATATATATATACACACATATATATATCAGGATGATCGTTAACGTCTGACTTGCCAGAGGTATTTTCCTGTGGTGTTAAAGAAAGGAGGAAGTGGACAGACGCCTTGCTCACTACTGAGAATTCTACGGGTGTCTACGAATGCATTTATTTTTAACTGTGCCTCACACAAACACTGCTCAATATGGTGTGTGTGTGTCCAGGTTTCAAATAACCCAAATGTTGGGCTCGGCTACCCAACTTAAAAAGTGATAGTTGAATGTGTGTATTTGTATGTGTGTATGTGAACTTTAATGTCCTTGTTTAGAGTTCATATCCTTGGCTCTATTGGAACAAGGGTGGATCAACAGTTGTGGCTTGTTGAGTCTCTTAATTCTATTAATTACCTATCAAACAGGGCTGCTTTGATTTCGCATCATGGGAAACTTCCCTGAATTTATTTGCAGCCATTTTTAGACCATAGAAGCCAAAGGAAGAACTCGGTGAAACAACCATTACCCAACCACCACCACCACGGTAAACAAAACAAAACACCTCAACTATTCAGGGAATTCAGTCTGGGGGTCTTCATGGCTTGGTACGTGTCACGTGACTGCCTTTCCACATACTCATCTCCGATGCTGCTGCATTGGCTCTCACGGTGGGTTTCGCGGGCGTGGTTGGGTATACCAGGGGATAGAACCCTGTACCCTGCATCCTCGTGAGCACTGCTCTGTTTCAGAATTAACTGTGTCCTCATGTCCTCTTCTCCTTTGTGCTGTTTTTGTTTCTCAATCATTATAAAATGATGCACACGTGTGCATGTAACAAAGGCACAGCACATCATCCATGCATTTATGTTTTGCACGCTGTTATTATTAATAATAATAAAACCTCCTCAATCGATCTGCGAGAAACACTGTGGAGGACCGTCTTCAGTCATCTCTTTCCGCCCTGGGCCGGTTGGAGGGGAGGAGAGGTCGTCACTCACTCTGTTGTTGGCATCCACTCCAAAGCTCTCCGGGAGATGCGAGATGCGGGGGGCAGGTCCGGCGCTGTCAGCTTGGGAGGCCGGCGGAGGGCTGGGCAGGCTTGGAGCTCCGCAGGCCGCCGGATGGGGGGAGAAACAATGGCTGCTGCTCGTGTGGCAGGTGCAGGGGACCAGGGGAGAATGGCCAGGCTCTGTCGACTTAATCTCTGTGCCCTCAGTGCCACGCTCTGTCGTCTGCTGGCCGGTCCTTTGAGCGTGTGGCTGCCGAGTGGCTTTGTGTATTGTGATTGTATTTCCGAGGGTGGGGGCTCTGTTGGGCGGGCCAGCTGCAGAAGGTTTGCAGATTCACTTGCTCTGCTTTTCGGTGGGCCTCTGGCTGTTCCTTGGGGAGAGGGGCTTGCGTCTCCATCTCCCCAGGACTCTTGACACTTGAGTTGATGCCTTGAATTTTTGTGGGTAGCAGAGAGATGACAGACCCGCATGGGGCCAAATGGGGGAAACAAAACAAGAAAACCCTCAAAGGGCCCATTCATATTCTAGTAAAGGTAAAAAGAGAGAGAAAAGGAATTAATAATTTACTCCTGAATTATTTCATTCCCTCTTTCTCTCCTCCACCAGAGGGGCCTTCGAGGTCTGAGCAGGGAGACCTGGCTGCGTTCGGCACCGTGTCCTGAGCCCCAGCCCTGAACAGATTATGTCTACTTAAAAACTCTTGTTCTCTCTCCCTCTCTGTCTCTCCTTTTCCTTTGAAAGGCACGAGTGATCCCTATGTGAAATTTAAGCTGAATGGGAAGACCCTGTACAAAAGCAAAGTCATCTATAAGAACCTGAACCCAGTATGGGATGAAATCGTTGTGCTGCCAATTCAGAGCCTCGATCAGAAGCTGCGGGTGAAGGTAATCACGGATGGCTGGGGGAAAAAAAAAAATCCTAAGATCTTCTCTGGGGTTTCTTACGCCTTCTTGGAAGCCAGTCGGTCACTGTCGATTCTTCATATAGTCTCCTGATGGATAGTGTCTATAAGTCAATGGGATAGACTGAGTGTGAAATCCTATCTCCACTGACCGTATGTAAACGTGGGAGGATTGTTACTAGCAGCAAGTAATGACACCGTACAGAAACCTTTGCCTGTGAGGATCACTTTATACCTCAGAGCGCTTCAAGCTCCCCGGCGATTGCTCCAACATCTGGGCTCAAAGAGCAGGAGTTGGGTTCGAGAAGGGGGTCCCGCTGTAGAATGCTTAGCAAATTTCTGTTTCCTAAGACCTGCTTCCCATAAGGAGAGGTGCTAACTTAGAATGAGATCTCATTCAAACGACAGGAAGTGATCGGTTTTCAATGTATACCCCTCCTCCATCCCCGCCCCCCCCAATGAGTAAGGCTGGATACATTTCTTCTTTCTATAGGGTTGGTTTACGTTTCTCTGTAAGTGGATGGTACAAATTATTGTCAGGTGTGAAGGAGAGATTTTTTTTAAAGGATCCTTGCTGTTCATTTGAGAAACTGTGGGTTTGTGCACATGCCTACACATTCCTGACCTCTCTGTGCTCTGTAGGTGTACGATCGAGACTTAACCACCTCCGACTTCATGGGCTCTGCTTTCGTTGTTCTCCGTGATCTCCAACTTAACAGGTGTGTTAATTAATTAATTTATACTACTTAATGAGAACTGGCGGTCCTCACGCGTGACACTTGGCAGAGAGCAACCCAAATGAAAGACTGGTGTTATTGTTAGATTCTGCTCGTTGCAGATGACAAATCTAGTTTTTCAGACATTAAACCTTTTATAACACACCTGGAAATACGTGCTGGGGTTTTCATTGTTAAACATTCAGGCTCATTCACTTAAGACCAATAGTTTATCTTTTATTTGGGCCACATGGTCTTGCAGATGAGTTAGGTGGCTATTGGATCAGATGATACCAAACCAAGTTTTCTGCCCTGACAGTGGTTGGTTTCTTTTCACTGAATCTGGGCCTCTCGTGTAGCATTGGCGTTTTGATCCTTCACAAGAGATAGGAGACTTTTTACCCTAAGCTATCTATGGTGCCAAAAGACTAGTCGGTGTTAAAATGATCATTATTTTTGTATTTGCCTTTCGCTTACAGAACGACTGAGCATATTTTAAAACTGGAAGATCCAAACAGCTTAGAAGATGACATGGGAGTGGTTGTGTTAAACCTGAACCTTGTTGTGAAGCAGGGGGATTTCAAGAGACATGTGAGCAGAAAACTCTTACTCTTTTTAAGCTCGCGCCTGTGATTTCCATTTGATTATTGGGCTATTGACATTTTTATAATTATTTTTAGGAGGAAACAAACACTTTTCTTTATAAACTTAAGGAACCCATCTGTGGTTACCGACGTGTCATTTGAATGACTGACAGGAAAGCACATTAAAGAATTATCTCTAACTTGGCTAGAGATGTGATTAGTATTACTGTAATTAAAACTCAGATGTGATTCATATGTTGCTTACAGTTGCTTGCCTGAACTATATGGTCACTCATTTTCAAGAGTTCTGTTTAGTAATTTTTTGGGGTGTGTGTCCTAGATAAACTTTAAAAAAAATCTCATTTTCATTTACGAATACGTTTTAAATATTATAAATCATTTGCAGCATTCTGAATTTTCCTTCCTTTCTCTTACCTACTAAGTTTTCCATTTTGGGGATAGTTTGGTGAGGAGAAACATTTTAGTATTCTCTGTTCTCCTTCATGGAAGTTTTTCGTGAGTACCCAGCCTTCTGAAGATGTTTGTTACATCCAAAGAGCCACCCGATTCTATCAGGACACAAAGGAGACTGTTCTCAGGAACATATAGATGACTGTAAACCACAATTTCCCTTTATGTTTTGGGATTATACGTTTTTAATCCTACACACTAAAATAAGAACAAAAATGTGCCTTATTATAACTTACTTGAAAGGCATTTTTTTCTCATTTTGCTGGAGAAAGAATAAAATGTGTTTCTGTCTTGCCTGGGTGGAATTCACTGTGAACAATCTGACACTTGTGTGTGAGTTAGGTTTCAACAGACAAGAGCCAGACAAGGAGAATAATCTCCATAGAACATACCAACACTGAGAGCTATAATTTGTGAGTTGTAATTTGAACATCAACAGTGGTTTGCTAGCAAATACACAGAAGGTGGGCTTCAAAAAGTAGAACTGTGTTGCCCCCTTTTAATTATTAGTGCCAACTAAACATTTGTGTTTTAATTTGGATTTCCTGATGGTAAGTTTGCTCAACAGAGAGAACAAATCTCTGCTGATCACTTTTTTTTTGTTTTAAAGAAGTACCCCATACTTAGGATGTCAGTGAATCTGGTATTTTGATGTTATGATGTCTGAAATTGATATTGAAAATAAGCAATTTTTGAGCTGGAAGCTAGCTTAAAATAACCCAAGATACAAATAACCAATGTATTCTCAAATGTTCCTGTGTATTTAAGTGGTGTTTGTAAAGTTACATCATTTCCTGCACGAACACATTGACATATTTAAATGACTACTTTGTGGATTTTTCTGTAGTCTATTAGAGCAGTCATCTTGCCATTTAAATACATTTAAATTGGTCCCCAAATTTAGAGAGGCCAAGTAAGTGGGATTTTAGATTTACTTGATTTCAAATTGCAGAGTGATTAATGCTAGATACACCTTGGATTGGGTGTTTGTAAAGCAACTCAATTTTTTTTTTCAAGTTCAAAGTCCATGGGTAGTTCCTGCTTTACTGTGTTTGGCTCTTCTTATATTTAACCCTCCCCTCCCCAGCCTGTCTTCTATGTTGAAGAATTGGTTAGACAGTGTGCTCACTCATGTGGTTTCTTGTCTGGTGGAGGTCTGGTGTACAACCTATTTATTTTGTATATTTCTATGGAGACCGTATACAAAACCCTGGCTCTTCTCGATGGCAGCTTGCCTTTTTCTCTTTATATATTGGTCAGAGTATCGCTTAGGAATACTCACATAATAATTTATTCTGAGCCATATGTGGCTTTTCTACTTCAATCGCATGTGATGGGCCCTTGGAGTGTCGTAGATAGGAGAAAACATTTGTTCTTTTCATCAAGTGAAGTTCATATTTCAAGGTACTTTTATATTGAGGTTTTTAAATGGAAAGGACTAGCCCTTGGGACCAGTGGGCCATAGATAACTAGGTACCTTTGATACGTTTCTATTTCGATTCCAGTTTCGATGGAGGGACTTCAGCAGGGATCCTCAGTTTTGTCTCCACTTATTTTTTCTTTCCATCAACCATGAAGTTAGTGATCGTTGCTACAGAACCAAACAGAACCAATCTGTCCGCCCCCCCCCCCCCCCCCCCCCCCCCCCCCCCCCCCCCCGCACACACACACAAGAAAAACCTTCACACCTACAACTTGTCCCGAGTTTACCCTCCTGGGTAGAGATCGAGATCTAGGTAACACAGGTGAGAACTGGAATCTTCCGATCAGGTGCTAAAACATTTGTTGGAAGGCTGACAAATACTTTTTTTTTTTCCTGAGTAAATAGAAGAATGCAATGAAAAGAATTTTTTTTTTTGTCAGCCCGCCAAGAGTTAATCAAGTCTACACCTTTCTCTGAACCTCTCAGCTCATTTTCCTTGGGTGAGGAAGGAAGATAAGGAGAGTATTTGTTTCCTAGTGCTATGGAGAAGATCGGGATGAAGAGGTGTGGTGCTTCTAATGACGTAGAGACATTCAGTGTGGTAATGTGTAGCGAAGGGTAAGCCAGGAAGGGAAGTCATTTTTCTATGGATATTCTTTAATAATAATCCATTTTGATTATTATCACACAAAAAAGCAAAGAATTCTATGTGAGTAGGATTTAAATAGCTTCATCCTCTTGCAAGATGCTAATTAATTTTGGCATTTGGGTTGGGTGAAAATACGTGATACCACACTGAGAAAATACCAGCTGGAAGAACTGATTTTACTATCCTGGTGGTAGTTTCTAGAACTCTTTGTCACATGTTAAATGTTGATTTCTTCCTTGTTTCACCAGGGGAGGTGTTCTGAACAAAGAATATTTTCAAGTCATTTCTGTACCAACGTTTCTAGTTCTTGGGCAATGGAATCGGAGTGAATTTATCCTAAAGACCATTTATTTCTGGTGTCTCATCTCCAGGGATGGCATATGGACAAATTGATAGGCCAGTTAACTGATAAGGATTATTTTTTTTTCCTTCAGTCCAGTCGTAAATGTGGTCTTCTCCGTTAGGCTTATAACTGAGTTAGCATATTCCAAATTTATCCAGTGAGCTGGTTGAGCAGCCTAAGTAGAGCCTTGAAACAGAGAATGCTCACCGGAGTAAGAAGATGGTTTTGCAGTGAGAACATTTTAATTTTAAATCCTTTTTGTACCAGTCCTGGGATTTAAACTCAGGGTCTCCCTGTTTCCCTTGACTTGACTGGTGCTCTTTGAGCCACACCACCACTCCAATTTTTTGCTGCTTAATGGGAGATAAGACTCTCATGGAATTTCTGCCCTGGCTGGCTTTGAACCATGATCCTTAGATCCTCCTCAGGAGCTAGGATGACAGATGTGAGCCACCAGCTGCCAGGTTTTAATTTTAATTGTAGTTGTGGCTCAGCGGGCTCAGCATGTCTAATTAAGGATGAGGGAAGAACCACGTGGAAAATATTTTTCTTCTCTTACTCAGGGCTGTACTAACTTATTTTTCTTAATTAGGAAATAATGACTTCACATATTTTCCTGTTATTTTGAATATTGTGTATTAGCTTATGAAATTTAATCGAATAGTATTTGCTGTTTTCTGGGAATATGGAAACTTACACATGAACTAACATCAGTCATAAGTGTTTTCACATAGGAGAAACCTGATTTTCCACTTTTTTTTAAAAAAAAGAGAAAATGGTACCAGTTTCAATGTCATTTCAATAATACCTTTAGGAACAGAACAGTATCCATTTGCTATGGGCTGGGTAGACTAAACACTGGAAGAAAATTAGGTAGCCCAAACGTACAAATGGGAATTTTAGCATTCGTACTTTCTTGCTTAAATGTGCTTTGTTCATAGCATCAGAATTTGAATGCCAACCATAGCACATAAATTATAGCCTATAACACAGTACAATCACTTTATTAATGAGTTTTCTCTGTTCCTTTGTTACCGTCTTGATTATCCAATGGTGCCGAACTTAGCGGTGGTCGCATCGGAAGCAGATAAGTGCCAACAAGGTGAGTATATCTGTGTTTTCCTTTCCATACTGTGGCTGAAACTTCATCTTTGTAGCAAAGAGAAATGTATACATATTGGACATCACTCAACCTTTACTTGTCATGGTATTTGTTGTCTCTTAACATATAAGAAGGCAACAATTTTCCTTTAAAATTTCATTTAATAATGGGCCTGGCCAGATAGTTGAACTCATTGCTTGTTGGAATGGTAACATTTCATATGTACCAGACATGTTTGAATTGTATATATCCTTGAGCTTGGATTATGAAGCATATAACGTGGTTAGATTTATTCCTTTAGGAAGTTATTTACCGTCAAATTTAAAAACTACCATCAGTATTATTGGGGCAATGTACAGATTAAGAGGAAGGAATGTGAGGTAAGAAGCTATTACTCTTTGCGGAAGAATATCCCAAATTATTTCTTCGTGAGATGATGGCTGTTTTGTTTTACTTTGTTATTAATGTCAAGCAGTTACACAGTGGCTATACGTTAGTGCTTAGGTATTCTAAGAGGACATTCTGCATGGAATAGTTTGATCAAGTTATTTAGTGTGTGAATTATCACGTAGGAGACCAAGTGCGAAGATTATTAGAAAAGTAAACGAAAGCCCTCTGACTTCATTTAGCTACTTTTGAAAGAGAAATTATTAGGAAAATAATTCTAATTAAACGGCTTACATCCAGGTCTACTGCCATGATGATGATGATGATGGTGGTGGTGGTGGTGGTGGTGGTGGTGGTGGTGGTGGTGGTGGTGGTGGTGGTGGTGGTGGTGGTGGTGGTGGTGGTGGTGGTGGTGGTGGTGGTGGTGGTGGTGGTGGTGGTGGTGGTGGTGGTGGTGGTGGTGGTGTGTGTGTGTGTGTGTGTGTGTGTGTGTGTGTGTGTGTGTGTGTGTGTGTGTGTGTGTGTGTGTGTGTGTGTGTGTGTGTGACAGGCAGAGGCTTTTCTCATAATCAAGTTGTACTTATAGATGTGCACATGTGGTGAGATCTTTAACTTCTAACAGAATGCCTCCTCTATAAAATAACTAGTTTACAATTAGGATACCTTCAGATCAAAGTGTGTGTGTGTGTACACGTGTGTGTATGTGTGTGTGTTTGAGGGAGAGCAAGCAGGAGAGGAAGAAGGTGTGAAGATAGGAGAAGGAGAAACAAGGCTGGGTTAGGATCCCTTTTGGTTTGGGAGGTAGAAGGAGAAACCTTTCTCCCACGTAACTGAAATACAGCCACGCTTTGCATTTGAACACTTCCAAGTACCTGTGACCAAGGGAAGTTGCTACCCTGCCAGTTTGTTAGAAATAAACCTGAGAGCGCCTAAGTGGTTGTGTGTGCCCTGTCTCAAAGCTCCTCCAGCTCTGTCTTACTCCTGGGCAGTCACTAGAGGGTGGAAGAGGCCCGTGTCTCACGGCGAACGAGGTCCAGCGCCGGCCTGCCCCTTTCCAGTCTGCAACCACCCAGGGCAGTAAACCTTCCCAGAATGCTTTGGTGAAACCTGACAAAGCAGTATTTCCTCCTTTATTGATTCTGCTAGTGCACTAAAACATTGGTACTGTACATCAATAACCAGCTTTAGTTAGGGAGCTCTGGTGTGTGGAAGAACATAAAAGACTGGAGAGAAAAATTGCGAGCTTGGGGAATATTGGAGTCTAGGGAGGACCGGAGAGGTTATGGAAGAATGGCCAAAGGAGTGAGGAGGGATGGGGAAAAAAATGTTGACGGCTTGGAGAAAGATATCAAAAATATGGAAGGGAACAGAGGATCTAGAGAGCCGTGTGTGTGTGTGTGCGTGTGTGCGCGCACAGTGTCTTAAAACTGAGCTGTATTCCTCTCTCTCTTTTCTCTCTCTCCCTCTCTCCCCCCTTCTTTCCCTTTCAGAAATATAGAAGGGAATGGAGGATCTAGAGAGCAATATGTGTGTGTGTGTATGGATATGTATATATGTGTATGTCTTGAAACTGAGCTGTATTCCTCTCTCTTACTCTTTCTTTCTCTCCCCCTCTCTTCCTCTCCCCTTTCTCTCTCCTTCTCCCTCTTCCTTTCCCTTTTTATCCCAAGTCATACTGATTTCTGAACTTTTGACTTCTGCGTACAGGGGTTTAAAGGTATTATTAATGTCACCGACTACTCTATATTTAGTAAACTTATGAATGATAAGAATTCATTGACAGCTACTCAAGTTCTTTGAAACATGTAAGGTATACCCTGGGGAACACTTAGGAACTCTGTCCAGAGTTTCTGCTTCTGAGAGTGTGCAGTTTGAAACAGAGATGTGGAGGAATTGCTGATTTGTCTTATGAAAATAGACACACAGACGCTATTAGAGACATTGTCGTTAACTCTGTGTATACTGGCTAGCTTACCTGATGACATGTTTATGCTAGAAGTATCATTTTCTTTTAGGCTTCACGTATTATAGTTCATAGTGGGTAATGTCTTGACATGTATGAAAAACTTCATGTTCTAATATGGTGTACAGCCTGTAAAGTATCATTAACATGCCCACCTCAATCTGTTTCTTGTAATATCTTCATTTAGACAATTGTGTCTCTTCCTCTAATTTCCTAATTTTTGGATCAAATGTACCTGCGTGGTATAGATTGTGTGTGTGTGTGTGTGTGTGTGTGTGTGTGTGTGTTTAAACTTCTTCCAAACCATATCCTTACTGTTTTGCCCTTAGCTTTTGATAGTAAATATATATACATACATACATATATATATATATATATATATATCCATATATATATATATATATATCTCCTTCTAAAATAGGTATGCATTCCATGCAAAAACCTTTTGAAATGAGCATTTAAAGAAGTAATTAGCGGTTTGATTCAATAGGACCTGGATTGCCATGTAATTCCTTTATGGATTTCTGGTAGGTTTTCTGTCAGCTGCCCCTTCTTTCAAGCAGCATGAGAGGAGAAGGGAAGGAAGAAATCACTGAAACAGAATTCACTGACTGGACTCAGAAACTTAGCACGCGCGCGCACACACACACACACACACACACACACACACACACACACACACACACACACACACACACACACACACACACACACACACACACACACACACACACACACACACACACACACACACACACACACACACACACACTCCGTCTCTTGGTCTATAGCAGAGCTATGTCTGAACACAATGATTTTTTTAGATAGAGATTTCCATCCCTTACAGAGATGAAGTACACAGTTTGACATAGCCCCCCCCCCCTTTTTTTCAGCCCACTGGTTCATGCATTTATATGTCCTCTCTCTAAGAGAGGACATTCCCGAGTGTATAACTTTATTATTTAGGGTGGAATTAATGGATGGTGCCAATTCTTTTAGACTATTTGGCTTCCTGTTCTCTTATTCCATTGTCTGTTACTGCAGAAGCTCATGTCTGCAGGCTGCATTTTCTTTAATTTTTATTTTATTTTATTTTTGTCAGTTGTGGGGCTTGAAGTCTAGGCCTGGGCACTGTCCCTCAGCTCTTCAGCTCAAGGCCAGTGCTCTACTACTTGAGCCACAGCACCACTTCTGGCTTTTTCTGTTTATGTGGTGCTGAGGAATCGAACCCAGAGCCTCATGCATGAGGTGCAAGCACTCTACCACTGAGCCACCTTCCCAGCCCATCAGGGCTGCATTTTCTAGCTCCCTTGACCAGCAGGTTTCATATCTATCTATCTATGTATCTATCTATCTATCTATCTGCTATTATCTATCATCTTCATCATATCTCCCTACCTATCTGCTATCTATTATCTAGCATTGATCTCTATCATCTAATATCTATTATCTGTCTGCTATCTACCTACAAATCAATTAATCTATCTGATAATCTGGCGCCTATTATCTACCAATTAATCACTTTATCTGATAATCTACCATCTCTTATCTATTATCATCCAGCAGCTGCTATCTATTATATATCTGCTATCTGTCTATATCTATATCTATATCTATTATATATCTGTCATCTATTTATCTATCTGTGTATCTATCATCTATCTATTCTCTGTCTATTATCTACCATCTATCATCTATCTGTCATCATCTGTCTCCATCCATCTAACTTTAATGCGGGTAGAATGACCTTTTCGGTTTTCCCTTCTCTCTGAAAGGAGCCTGTAGTCCATCTCTTGTCTGGCCAGAAATCTATCTGAACCTTTTGGACTAGACACACTCTTCTTCAGCCGTTCATCCGATCGCCCCTCTGAGTGATGTGAGACTTAGACTTGCTCAGAGATCCCCCCCTGGAGTGTAGTCTGAACTGACAGACTGATAAGAGAGATGAGAAGTAAAGAGACAGAGATATTTGTAGGTGCAGGGGGGACCCTTTCCCCTGGCCTTGCAGGTTGGTGGGGCTTGTAAGAACCAAAGTTAGCGTCATCCTGGGTCTAGACTCTTTTGCATTGTAAGTCAAAGCCAAGACAGAAAAAAAGTAGAAAAGACTAGATCTGACATACAGACTGCCAGGACAGTGTGTGCACATATGCGTGCACATGCTCATGCACACAATCAAGAAATATTGGATGATAAGAGCTTCCTATAGATTAGGACAAAGAGATAAGCTTGTGGACTTAAACACCTTTTATTAATTTATTTTGTAACAGTAGGTAAGAACGGAGAATGATTTTTCAACTCTGAGAGCTCTTTGGGTATTTATAGACCTCATCTATTTACTTAATCTTTTTGTTCTCTTCATTCGGTTGTTTTACAAATTTTTAGGTGGGAAACTCGAGAGACAATATGCTTTTTTAATTGCAAAAAGATTCTAGGTAAAATAGCTTAAAAAAAAATAAATCATGATCTTGTTTGTAGAAATTCTTCCTCTTTTATTTTCTTTCTTGTTTTGGACCTGTGATAGTTTTCATCTACACAGACACATCTTACCTTCCATCCATATGTGGTAAATCTGAGGAGGCTGATGTTTGATGATCCTTAGGCAAAAGGGGTCTGCGTGGCTGTAGCATCCGTGCTTGCAGGATTTTCTTCA